TCTCAGTTGGCTGAGCCAAGAGGACCCCAAGCATAAGGCTAATGCGACCTACAAAGAGAGACATTGCCTATGATGATGTGATGATAGTGATGATAGTGATGATGGTGATGATGGTGATGATGATGATGGTGATAATGATATACCTCTAAGAAAACTTCCGTTTATGTGGGTTTTACCTATTAACAGTTATCTTGTTAGAATATAATAGAACAAATAAGCATCAATTTGATTTAATAGTTATAATAAGAAATACAGCATACAAACATACTTTAATAAACAATAACTAATTTCTCAAGAACAATCAGCGTTTGTTCTCAAATGGAGTGATAGCAGTATACATATCTGCAAACTTCTAAAGCATCTGGTTTACTGAATTACTATATCCACTTAGGCGTTTAACCTACCGCAATGTTTTTGGTAAAAATCCACAATGAAAGTCAAGCTTCACACAGAAATAGATTTGTCAAAGGAGACTCTCACCTGATAGCTATTTCCAATGATTGTGTTCTCTTCTCTGCTCTAACACTAGACTAAGTGACAGGTGACTCTTTCAGTGTAGAATCTGAAACAGTATCAGTGAACACTTCCTATTGTGTTACATTGCGGTCCACTGATCTGCCTGCATGTGAGTGACCCTTCTCCTTCACGATTTTGCAATGTGATACTTCAGTCATTTGTATGCTGTGGATTCACTGAGTTTACACGAGTGCTCCAGAATCCATGATATCAAGACTCATGTGTCTTAGTATCACACACTAACCTTATCACATGTGTCTTGAAGGTCTGGAAAAATGTTGAGAGCATTGTCAATCTCTCAAGTACCAAATGAGCAATTCCTCAATTCAAATATTCTAGTTACCTTGAATTTTGCTGTTGGCAGCAAATGCCAGCATTTGTGTTCTTGGAAATGACAGCCTTCCTTTGTTCAGTTTTAAGAACATGCCTGCCAAATATTCAAGTTGGATTAATTTAAGTTTAGCTGTCAATCATTTCTTAAGGTGAAAATGATGTTTCAGGAAAAAGGGCCAATTCAGCTCAATCATGCAAATGCTTCTTCCTCTCTGTATTTCATGGGCAGCAGAAGTGCTTTATGCAAACTCTCCATGTGTTGAAGAAAAACATGTATTTGGAGATGCACAGCTAATACGATTAATGATTTCTAATATTTCCTCAAGGAAGATCAAGCAAGACTAGCATTTCCTCTTTTATTATGCCCAGTGCTTCCTAAAACCACCTATCAGGACACTGTGGAGCTTGATATAACTGCCTCACCATGTCGGAGGCCCCAGCCCCACTATTGTCCTCCTATTGGCAGTGGGCCATCACCCAGTAAAGCAAATAGCAGCTATAAAATGCAAAGATAAGAAAGCTGTGTATAAAAAAAATCACTTCTGCCAGAAAAAGATAACTTTAAGAATATGTAAATATAGTCTTATTTTAATCAATATTTATTTTTAAAATTAGCAAGATGTAAGTAGCACCTCTTTATATTGTGCTTTATAACTGTCCTGCAGGTCCTTGCGTGTGTGTGTGTGTGTGTGTGTGTGTGTGTGTGTGCAGGTCTTGCACAAGTAGCCTTAGCTGCTCTGTGTTTATGATGGCAGTGATCATGTCATAACTAGTAGGCAGAATTTCAAGGTACATCCATGCTTTATTGTTTTTTCATTATATAATATTTTACTTCAAAATATAAAGGAACAAGTTAATTTATACAACAACAATGATGAGTCACAGAATGCTGGCACCAAGTGAGAGAAAGCAGAGAGAGAATCACATGTCACTTGAATCGCAGTCTGAGAGATGAGATTTCAGGTCATAGTGCACATACCATAGACTGCCCTTGCTAATACCAGATATTATCACTCAGTATAATCTGGCAATGCAATTTAAAAATATGTAAGATGCCACCAGATTTTTAGAACGAATTTTCAGCAACAAATGATGATCAAGGCAACTATGAGATGTTTCTCAGGCATTAAAATTTGTTCTTATTCCCTTCCATGTTTGTATAAAACACAATTCTTCTTCAATGAACGTTCATGTTTATCTTACTCTTACAAAAGAAGGCTTGATTTTAGCCTTATCATTAATCAAAACCGTTCTCTGTCCTTGGGTGCATGCTAGTCTGTGGGAAGTGATTCTGTGGGGACTGACACCGCCTTTACAGCTCACCATCCCACGCTGTTTAGCATTTTTAATCTCTTTCAAATCCCACAACCACCCCGCCAGGTAGACATCGTGCATGGTCAGCACTTCAGTCTCAAAGAAACCTAGTGCTCAATGATAAAAGAAGAGAATTAAAATTGAATTCTGAGCGTTACAAATAAACATCACGAATCAGAAAGGACATAGAGAAAGTGGCCGGGAAGCTCACACTTGCTCCGGCATCTCCAAGCTGTCAAACCTTGAATGTCTTGCTAGTCAAACATGCACAGAGCAGAGCTGCGCCGAGGCAAGTGTGGGCCATGTCTATTTAATGCACTTGCCATGTTTCCCCATCCCATGGCTGCCAGGAATTCTAAAAACTCCCTTTGGCTGAGGAAGTAGAACAAAGATCAGAAGGGGGAGACCTCTGTGACCAGAGCCTCTGTTCTGGGGATGGCTGTCTCAGGACATTGGAGCAGTGCCAGTCAGTGCGGACCTTCTACAGTGATCTTGTTTTTACGTTTGGGAACAGAGTCTGAAGTTCTTTCTGCTCGTGTCTACTAACCAAAAGATGACCGCCTTTACAAACATCACCATTCTTGTCCTCGTAAGATCCCCAGTTATTCAGTTCTGTGGACCACTCATGACTCATGGTAATGACTGGCCTGCAATGTACCGAACATTCCTCCACAAGGAATTAGGTTCCTGTGAGGGTTTATTTCAGTTAATATGCCGATAAGCACCTTTATTTTACGTGTATCTCAGTTTAAGGACATCTGATTTAATCAATATTGCTGACGCATTGCTATTTAACTGTAACACCCAAAGGAAGTTTATTTCTACACAAAGTACGTATAACAGCCTTGTTGCGCTTAGGAACACTAGACAGCTTTAGTAGTCTTGCTTTATTAGTAACACAATATTAGACATGTGAACCACTTCAAATGGTGAAATCATCAATAAAAATCAGAGAAAATGAAAAATAACCAGATGGCACTAACAAGGCTATCAGTGGGTCACTTGTTTGTCTATGCTGTGTGTGCCTGGACTGAAGGAGAAGCAGAGCCTCACTTTGCTTGAACTCAGCTAGGAATTTGCATCCGGAAACCTTGTTCCCTCTCTCTGAACACATCCGTGACTAAGAAAATGATATACACACTGGGTATAGGCAAGTTAGTCAGCTACCTAGGAGGCTGAGGCAGGAGGATGTCATGTTCAACACATGCCTGGGCTACTCAGGAAGTTCAAACCCAGCCTCAGTTAGTTAGTAAGACCCTGTCTTTACCAAAGTAACACACACACACACACACACACACGCTTGGGGGGTTTGGATATACTTTAGGAAGTAGGTGATTTGGTGAATTAAAAAAAATACAGAATCTAAAAATAATGAAGATCAAGGTCTACCTCAACTAGTGGATGTGGTAGAAGCCTGTCTCTGGTAGATGCACCTGTTGTTGGTGTGCTGACAGACCAGCTGTTAGATCTGTAGAGTAGAGGCCGGGGAACTGTGTGAGCTCCATAGCAGCCAACCTTCTGTCCTAAGGCAACACACTGCACTGTTGCTGGGGCTCCTCCTTGCTCTCTCTAGTCTTCTACACAAATGGTTAGCAAAGCTTAGCCTGCATCTGGAATACTTAACACACAGAGATTGCTAAGGGTGCCCTTAGGATTTCAACAGATGATCTGAAGTACTGTACTAGATCTTTGATTTCTTCCAGTGATCCTGGAGCCCTCATAGTCCAAAGACAACCTGGGTCTATACCATTGGCTCTATTTGTTTTCAAAGTAAAGCCCAAAGCTAAAAAGGGTTGAATAACTTTTCCAGAGTTCCATGCACAGCGAGTAATTGGCTTTCAAACACAAATGTGGCTGAACCCTCTATGAGCTCTCCTCATTTGCTGTGTTTCTTTGATGCAGGTTTCACCCTACCAAGACAGTTTAGTTCTGGGCTGGTCTGCAGTGATAGTCTATCACTGTGAGGTTGGAAACAGGGTTAGGTCAACTTGGTACAGCTAGAGTCATTTTAGAAGAGAAACTCTCAGCTGAGAAAACGCTTCCACCAGACTAGCCTGTAGGCAAGCCCTGTGGTGCATTTTTTTTCTTGATAATTGATATGGGAGCTCCCAGTTCACTGTGTAGCATGCCACCCCTGGGCTGGTAGTCCTGGGTACTATAAGAAGGCAGGCTAAGTAAGTTCTGAGGATCAAGCAAGTCAACAGCTCTTCTCTAGGGCCTCTGCATCCATTTCTGCCTCAGGCTCCTGCCTTGACTTCTCTGGGTGACATTCTACAAGCTGTACCATAAACAAAACCCTTTCTCTTAAGTAGCTTTCGGTCATTGTATTTTACCACAGCAATAGAAATCCTAAGACAAGAACCAAAAGCTTTTCTGTGGTCACTGGGCCCATGGTAGACAGGGTGGGGAGCAGAGGAGGAAGGAAACAGTTCCTCTCTCTATTGCTATGGGATGACTCATGCTTGATAACAAGTCAGTACAAAGCAACACAAAGCCGTTGTTATCAGGTAAATGTAACTTATCAGGTAGATTTTGGTTAGGTTGATAGGCAGTAGGAAGAACTGATTACATGGGCTGGAATGAGGGTCTAGTGACTCAATTACCTGCTGCTCCAGTCTGAGCCAGTGCATGACAGCACACAGCAGCTTCAAATAGATGTTGGTTAATAAGCAACTCAGGGAAGATGGCAACCTCAACTGAAAGGTTCGAGGCCAAGTCACAGAGTGACGCCATTTAGAAACTGAATCATTATTTAAGGAACCGTTTCCAAACGATCAGATCTATTAACTGTACTAGATCACATTTAAGATTATTTTTTTTCTATATTCCTTTTGTAGTAGTATCCCCTATTTCTGCTTACCCACGTTTGGATTCAAGCACATTTTGCCATTGACTGATGATGCCGAGAGATTCAATGAAATTGTGAGGAAACAGAAGATTTCTGCTAATATTGACACACCTGAAGGTGGATTTGACGCAATCATGCAGGCTGCTGTGTGTAAGGTATGGTCCAGGGGGTGAGGGTAGGGGGTCAGAGATCCGTCCTGTGCTCTTATTAATAACTCTGCTTTGGAAAGGTTAGCTAATTGACTTTCCTTTGATTACCATATTCCTACATTTGCTCCTTTTCTTAAAAGACAAAATGGCTATTAAACAATTTTACTTTGTTGAAGTGCTTATAATTTTTTTATACTAGAACACTCTTATTTGATTATTCAAATATCAGACATATTAAGCATATGAAAAATTTGGCTAACATATCGGATTGGTTGTTTTTTAATTAACTATAGTAGGAAAAATTAAAAGCAGAACATTAATTAACAAATTTAAAATAGCATACAATACATAGTTACATAACTTGTTTTTTGCCTTTTTTTTTTAATGCTGTGGGGCCTTTCCGTGCTAGGCAACTGTATAGGAACTTTCCCATTCGCTACTTTTAGAGGCAGAGTTTGAGATAAGAATCTATTGTTTTGAACTAATAAAATGAGGATTATAGGTCACCCTGTCTCTACAGCACTGCCAGGACTCAGCTCTTCCTTCACTGTTTGAGGAGTACCAAGGAGAATGATTGTCTATCTAGACATTAGTCCTTCATGGGAAATACCGGAAGACAGACAGGGCTGAGGCTCCAAGAAGGCAGAAGGGCCAGGGAGGAAGGGAAGGAAGGTGAGGACAGCCAGGATGACTTTTTACTCAAAAGGTTCCTAGACTTATATTGGTTCTGGGAGGGCTCTGTTAAAAACACAGATTGTGGCAATCTCAGTGGGCAGGACCCTGGGGCCATTTCAATCAGCAGCTCTTGGACTTGTGTTAGGTTTATAATTTTGAGGTGACAGAGTTAGTAATATGTGTCTAAATGTTGGGTGACATTTTAATGAAATAGACTTACTTTATAACCAATTTGCATTGCATTTAGCTTGAATTTGGAATGGCTGTGACCTTCCTCACTACCTTGTCTTATTCCCACCCTCACCCCCCCACACACCCTCACCCATCATGAAGTGAGAGCTGAACAATTAAGATCAATAGCTAGAAGTCCAGGCAAACCCGACAGTACTGGAACGACTATTTGTGATGCAAAAAAAGAAAATCTGAAAAGTTGTCCAGGAATAAGCAAATGCTACAGGATTCATGTCTCTAATAAACTACACATTCTCTATGGTTAAAAAGGCTAGAATGGGCTCTCCGGGCATTGCTCAGAATCCAAATGTGAGAAGCTTCATAATCCTCAGCCTGCCCATCTCCATGTAACCCATGGCTTCTTCTCACTCTAGGAAAAGATTGGCTGGCGCAACGACTCGCTTCACCTCCTGGTTTTTGTGAGTGATGCAGATTCTCATTTTGGAATGGACAGCAAGCTAGCAGGCATTGTCATTCCCAATGATGGGCTCTGTCACTTGGACCACAGGAATGAATACTCCATGTCAACTGTCTTGGTATGTAACTTTCAGTGTCTTCAGTTTTCTGAGCCCCAAGTAGGCTTATGCCGTGACAACCACTATGAAGCCATATGAAATGACTCATACTGGATGAAAGTGGCATATTATTTTCTGTTTTAGGAGCTAAAAATTGCTTTCTTTCACCTTACCTGCATTACAGTTGGTGACCCTCACTAGGTAGGGGATGGGCGTATGTTGAGAGTCTAAACCTGCTATGGCACATATCCTCCCTAGCTTCTCAGAGACTCCGAGGCCAGGGAAAAGCAGTGCAGGTAACTCTCTATTCTCAACCATGGTCCAGGTCAGCACAGTACCACTAAGGGCTTTTTGAGAATCGTCATCCTCAGTTCTGCCACACCATAGTGCTGTTTTGAACAGCTAATCAAGTCCTCCTTGGTTGGTGCTTATTAACAAGTAGCTTGCTTTCTGTGATTGAAAAGTGCTGGTAACATCTTTCAAAAGGAAAAACTTGACTATCGTCAAACAAAGTAAAAATTTCAGAGGTCTTTGCCCCAAGTGGTCTCATCTGATCTTCAACAGGACTCTGTGTCCAACTGCTGTTTCTATTAATAGACCATGAGGCTACTGTGCTTGGAAATGTCACTCCTTGTACTCAAGAAACTAAATTGCCCTTTAAAACCCAGAGAGCCCACTTTGACCTCCACTAGGTCCCAAAGCAGTCACTTCTCATTTCACCTTTATTTATGGATGTCTTCGCATCGGTCTCTGTATGGAAATGTGCTCACTCCCATCTGCCTCGTGATGCTTTCCTCAGAGCCTGCGATGGGTTCTTATCTTTGTTTCCTGACAGCTAAGTGGGTGCCAACAAATGTATGAGGTAGAATTAAAAAGCATCAGCCTGGGCTGGAGAGATGGCTCACAAGGTTAAAACCATTGACTGCTCTTCCAGTGGTCCTGAATTCAGTTCCCAGCAACCATCTGTAATAGGATCTGATGCCCTCTTCTGGTGTGTCTGAAGACAGCTACAGTGTACTTATATACGTAAAACAAATAAATAATTCTTTTTTTAAAAAGCAGCAGCCCAGGAAAGTCATATTACATATATTTAACACAAGAGGAAGCATGGCTCAGAAAAGTTAAAGGGCCCTTCAAATGATGATTTATAGAAGTATGCACTGGAAGAAGAAGAGGAAAACCCTGAATTCCAATGTCAATTGGGGGGAGGGAAGGCTATTCTATACAGACTCTATTAGTTCACAAATTTAAGTCATTCTTTGACCTAATTCTGGACTTCAACCTAGATTTCACCCCTCTCTTTGAGTAGTTTTAGTCCCCGCACATACATGATCTCTAACTGCAGTATTTTCATGTGAGAATCCAAATGATTATTGCCATATTTTATCTTTTAGTCAATGAGTTTCCAGGAAAGGCTCCCATTGCCAGTAATTTATCAAATGCCCCATAGTAGAGATCTTGGAACAAAAAGATCATAGAACCAAACAACACCCATTACCTAATATGTCTTTCTCATTTAATAAATGTTTGGCTCAGTATTCTGAATAGATTTCTGCATAAGCACAGAAGTCATGGGCCATTTCAATCCCCCTGAGTCCTTTGGATTTTTCCATGTGCTGAAAGCAAAGTCAGATTCCTGGGACCACTGAACATGAGTTGCTTCTAGCCTTGAGTTTTCAATAGAATTGTGAGCACTAAAGAAACAGATCTTACCCTGACATAAAACAGCATCCTATGTGGGCTGTGTAGTATCACCCTGGTTCCGCATGAAGCGGTATACAGGTATGCACCCATGGAGGTAAGGTAAGCACTGGAGGGCCTTGGGCTTTAGAGTGAATGATGCTTAAAGTTAGGGCAATTGAAAAGCAGATGGCACTGAATGTGTCCGACTAAGGAAAAATTTTATTATCTGGTCAAATGGGGGCTGGAATGATGGTTCAGAAGTTAAGAGCACTGGCTGTTCTTCCAGAGGATATGGGTTTAATTCCCAGTAGCTCCTGGCTGACTGTAACTCCAGGGGATCCAACACTTTCATACAGACATAAGTAAAAGTAAATAAATCATTAGAAAAATAAAAATCTAAATGAGATTAAAAAGAAAAAAAAAGGCACTCATAGCCTGAGTCACAAGTGGGAAGTTCCCTGGGTAATACAGAAAGAGGAACACCTTTTTCTCACCCTGAACCTTGCACCTAGTGATAGTCCCAGACAAAAATACTCTAGCAGTCCTGAGAATGTAACAATGCCCTGCATCAGTGAACAAAGGCTTCTTTATCAATGCTTTCCCTCCATTTGACAGACTACAGCCATGCCCATATTCCTAGTTTAACGTGCCACAGGCTCCCCCTTCCTCTGTACCTCTGCTTGTGCACTATCCACTATTGGCATCATAGAGGAGGCAAGTGTGTTTCATGTTTTCTACACTTGAAAAATAGACTCATCTGTAAACTTGATAATGAATAACTTGTTTTCTTTTTTTTTTAAATTATTCACCATGCTTGGGAGTGAATGTGTCCATGGCAGAAGGACAAATTGTCTTCAGTCATGCTGTGTTAAAAAAAAAAAAGATTGTAGGGTCGCACACCACCAATTTATGACATTGCAAAGGCAATAAAACCAACTCCGAGAAGTGGTGTAGGGCTGTCTCAAATCAGACAGCCGTAGGAGTTATAGTGTGCTATCTATCAGCACTCCATCCTGTCCTCAAGCTTCACGTCGCCTCTTCCAATTCCAGTAAGAGTTACAAGAGCCACCTCAGTCACATACATCACAGTCTGCTCACCCCGCCCTCTGCTGCTGAGTGGCACTTGGGGAAGATAATACAGCACAGTAGAAGTCTTGAGATAAATTCCAAGGGTCCTGCTTAGGAGTAAGATGGCATGGTGTGGCATACTGCCAGACTGCTCTTAGGACTTCCCCGAGCTTGCAAGACTTGGAACCATTCCTGAGATAAGAGAATAACACCAGTAATGTGTGTTTCCTGAGAATGACAGATAAAACACATGTGAATATCGACTTTCTCAACTGTGAAAGGAACATTGGTAAAATTTTACCTTCTTTTGTTAGGATGCCATTTTAAATCTATGTATTGATTTTAGGAGTATCCAACTATCGGCCAACTCATTGATAAACTGGTACAAAACAATGTGCTACTGATCTTTGCGGTCACTCAAGAACAAGTCCATCTGTATGAGGTAAGCAAGTACGAGCTGAGAGATCCCTTCAAAGAGATCGTGTGCCATGAAACTCTTCCGGGTAACTCTATGACTCAAAGGGTATTCATTCACTGCTTAAATTTTAGATACCAAGCATGGAGACTAGCGGAAAGTGGGGACACCCATAGCAACAATGAGAGCAAGAGCTGGAAATGAAAGGGTAGGTGAGAGAGCGTACAGGTGAATGGAGGAGGGGATCATCCACTGGCATTAAAAACAAGCATTTTGTCTGGCGAGGGGTTAACAGAGAACAGAGACACTGTTTGAGGGCAGTGACTGAATATTTGCAAACATAGAAAGACTCAAGCCAGAGGTGTAACCCAACCTTTGGAGAAGTAGAAAGCTAAAAGGAAAACAGTTATTAATTTGAGCCAAAAAAAAAATCACATGCCCCTCCTCCAATGTAATTGTTTTGTAGTTTGGAGGAAGCACCAATGTGCAGAAGAGAGTCTTTTATTGGGTTAAATGACACTTGCAGACCACCAGATAAACTGTAAAGCGCCTATGCAAATCTGAGATGTCTGTGGTTACTTTACAACCTAAGAGAAACAAGATGTCCAATGCTGTGTACTGAGATAGCTGTGAGTGAGGATACGGAGATGCCTCATATGCAGCTCCGTAGAAAGACTTCAGAAAACGCAGACATCAGATGGTGCTTTCTATGCAAAGGTGTCAGGTCCACCTAAATTCAGACTCTGATTCCCCATTCCTTTTGAAAGGATCTCTTAACGTGCTTGGTGACTTTGCAGGGCAAACTCCAATTATTTCCCCGAAGGCTTTGAAAAAAATGTACTCATGAATCCAACTGGCGGAGCCCGGGAACTTGCATCAGGTTCTATGGAAAGGATCCAGGAGGAGATGTTATCTTGCGTTTTTAATGAGAGGAGGGTATTGTAGTCCCAGGTGAGGGTGCCTTCTCTGCACACTCAGGAAGCCCATTACAACCCAGCTCTATCCTCAATGCTCTTGTTTCTCCATTCACCTGATCTGGGCTTTTTTTTTTCTTTAGTCTCCTTAGTATGTGATACTGGTTTCCACTGGTTTTAAGTAGTAGAGTTGCAGTAAAGATAGATTATTAACTACTCTCAGTACAATAGTGACTCTATCCTGCCTTTGATCCCCAAAGCTAATGTGAGAGGACCCAGTGGGTCACAACACCTCCTCCCCAGCAGGGCTGGGGCTTAGAAGCTGGAGAGGAAGCTGCACAGAACTTGCCTGCAAAAGGGAGTCTGGGGATCACAACTGATGATCATGAACATAGACTCCCATTATTCATGTTGGAAATAGTCTTTAAGACTCACAACATTTAGACACCTCCCCCAGTCTGTCATTAGGAAGACACAGGGGGATGAAAAATAACTGTGCGGCTAAATAGAATCTGTTGCATTCAAGTGAGTTGCACATGGTCCCTGGCTGCAGAAAAAATGATCATTTCCAAGGAAAATACCAGATTATAGCTGCCTCTAATATAACAGCAGGACATTTGTTTTGTCTGCCTACTAATCTCATTAGAAGAAGAATTTATGTTCTGTCATGATCTGTAGTCTCTGCCATCCGGGCGCCACTAAATTCAAGGGGACACGTTCAGAGAGCCACAACTCAGCAGCCTAGGTCAGCAGCCGACTCTATGACTGTGTCTCATTGTTCCGTTTTCCTCCTGATGGCTCACAGTGCCATCTGCGTTAGAGGGCCAGGAGGCAGCTTGGTCTGCAGATAATGACAACCACATGTTCTGACCTGAAGGTCCCACATAGCATGCAAATGCTGATCTATTGTTTTATTGATAATGAAAACAGAAAACAGGCCAATAATGGCCTGTGTTGCTTTTCAATTTAAAACTCTTAGAACATACACTATGTGTGCTGGAGGCTGGGGCTACACAGTATGGGGTGTACTTGTGAAATAAAGACCATAAGGACCAAAGAATCACTGAAAAATAAAGCCAGCAATGGGATAAATTAAGGAGCCAAGTGGTGCGATCTAATGGAAATTCCAGAAGGCAAATAATTTGCTTGAGTTATGCAGTAAGGATAGTTTTGTGCATGCACAGTCTGCAGGGGATGGTGAGGGTGAGGTTCAATGGCGGCTCTGTCTTACAGCAAGTAAGATTTATGTTGCCCACTCACGGAATTCAGGAAAAATGGCTGTTGTTTCAGTGAGCTGGGTAGGATGCTCTGGACTGGGCAGGTATGGGGGGCTGCTGTGCACTGTTGGAAGGCGCTGAGCAAACAAAGGAAGGGATTCAGTAAGCAGTTTTCTTTCAGTTCGGTATGCCTGAACTGAAAGTATGTACACCCCAGACTCCAGCAAGCAGACAGTTAGGAATAAACTTATTATTATAAATAGTTTCTTGTTCGTCCAATTACAGGGTCCAAGAGATAATGATAGATAATTGGCTGAGCACTAGGTAGTATACTATATCCACGGACTAAATGCTATTTAAAAAAATCAAGATTCGATTACCCAAGCTAAAGAAAAAAAAATGTTTACACTTCATTCAGTCTGTTGTTTCTGAATGCTCACTCTTGGTTTCCGTTAAGATAGTATCAGGCTTAAAGTCTAATTGTCTAAGTTGAAGGACCTTTCCTTCTTAGTGAGAAACAATGGCTACATATCAGCATTTTTACAATACCGTTAAATCTTGTTATTAATTGCTGCATGTTATTTGCAAGGCTTTACTATATTTATATATTTTCAAAATGTCTACAGCTAGCTGGGGGGATAGAGTGTGAAGGGCTAGCAGCAATGACAGTTCCGGGAGCTGCTGTTTATGGTGGGATGCTGAGGTAATGAGTCCATCTACACCAGACCTCTCCAGTTTAGCCAGTCTACAGCCTCCCTCACTGATGTCCTGTGGTTACTAGGACAGAATGGCATGTTTAAAGCATGAGCACAGAGATAGAAACAGGTCCTTCCATCTTTAGAGACTCTGTCCCTTAGAGACAAAAAGCACTCAGTTGCTAAATCTTTGAAGAGAATGTTGTTTTATATGGCTTTCTGTTTAGGCCAAGTCTCAATGAAGTTGTTAAAAATGAATATAAAAATGCAATAAAAATGGGGACTTGGGGCTTGGTGTGACAAATACTTGTCAGGGTTGAGGAAGCCTGGGCACATAGAGCAGGTGTGGGTTCTTGACCATTGCTAGGATGCTCTGCAGCCTAAGGTGTCCCCTTACCGTCCGTCCTGGACCCAGATGGCACCAGAGAGGAAAGCAAAGCCATACCATCTGTCTCAGGACAGACCTGCTGGAGAAGCTCTGCAGCCTCCCTTCTCACTCGGCCATAGCATGGAGACCCCCTGAGCAATTATCCACTGGCACACATTTGATCAAATAGCAAGTCTGAAGAGTTGCCATGACATGTTGCAAGCCATGTGCTCTTGCACAGCTCAGGATAATCACATCCTGTCCATAAGTGCCCATGTTTCAGGAATCAATAACCCTGGTTTTCTTTCTCCCTTTCTTCCTTTGACTATTCTTTGAGCTAGCCACTGTAGCAAGTGGGGATTGGAGGTACAGAGAACTAGAGGAAGATAAAATAAAAATTGGACCTCCTTGCTGTCCATTAATTGGTTCAATTATAGTTTTGTTTTCTAATGCTCTTGTTGAAAAAAAGATCAAAACAATTTCAGTTCAATAGAAATCCCTTGATCTCTTTGGCTTCAGTATTTATAAAATAAAAAGACTTGGCCCAGATGACCTCTGTTTTAAACAGTCAGTGACCAGCCCCTGGAGCTGGCCATGAATTCTGATGATCTCCACACACATAGCAAGTGAGACTGATCTTAGGGCCTACTCTAAGAAGTTATTCCCCATCCTCTCAGTCTCATGCTATAATAGGATATTCCAAACTTAGGATTTTAATGCAACTAAAATCATCTGGGGTAATTTTGCGATTATGTGACATCACCATGGAGTTAATAAATTGTTCTCGGCTGGAGCTTAATAGGGAAGATTTTTGATTTCTCCTTAATTGATGGTTTCTAGGAACAAAGCCTGAGGAGAGCCAGCTTCCCACACGTTCTTCATTAACTGGAACGTCCCTCAGAATGGGAGGATTTGGAAATAAAACTCATGTCCTCAGATTAGCAGGCATCTACCAAATCAGGCTAGTTAGTAAATCCCAACTCTGCCCAACCATCAGTAGTCACTGTTAGCTAACACATAGGACTTTTCTCTTAAAGCGTCCAAAGGCTTGTACTCCAAACCATTAACATTAGAGAAAAGCAAGACACTGGTTTCTAATAGAGCTTTCATGAGATTCCCTTGCTAGGTCCTCTCATACACAAATAGGAGATCTTGTCACTACACAGGCTGAATGTTTGAACACTAGAGTAACACCTTGGATGTCTAGGGTATCACTGGGCAATGATGCTGCCAAGTACATAGTCTGCCACCCACTCATTCAGTCATCAGCTATCTCTTGAACCCCTCCTAGAAGACAGGCCAGAGTTTGACCACAAGAAAAGGGTACAATATCTACCTCAAGAAGTCTCAAGCATCATGAACAGACTTGTAAGTCAATTATTAACCCACAAAAATAAGAAGAGCGCACCGTAGAGAGCCGGGGTGGGGGGGGGGGGAGATGATGTTCTTTGACAGAATTTTGCTAATGGGTTTGTATTTTCTCAGTCAATCAGTGATTGCTTGGTTTTGTTATCTATTCATTATCTTTGTTAGAAGAGGTAGCAGATTAGTTGACGACCATAAAACTGGTCAACAGTAGCACAGTAGCACACCTGACCTTCTCCCTGGTGGGGGTGAAAGCTGAGGTCCTGGTGATGGCATACAGTAATGGCTGTGATGACGCAGAGAACAATGAGTGGCCACCTGGAGACTGAGAGTTTTGCACTCACTTTATCATTTTATCTCCATGTATCACCAAGAATTAGCAAAGCAAGTTGTATGGGACAGAATTTAGGCCCAGATAACCAGAGTCTGTAGTTGTAACCACTGGGGAAAGTCATAGTTGACCCCCATA